AAACAAATAGATATTTACTTTGAAACAAACCTATCTGAAACGTCGACGGGGGTTCGTTGGGAGGCATTTAAAGCTTTTTTGTGGGGACAAAGGATCAGTTTTTGTAGTTCAAAAAAGAAAAAATCTCAACAAGAATTGAAAACATTGGATATGAAGATTAAAAAGCTGGAAAATGAGATTTATCAGAAAGGTTTGGTGTCTTCAGATTTGCATAAGCAACTCTTGTTGCTTCGTTCAAAGTACAATACATTATCAGCAAATAAAATGGCTACAAAGCTATTGAGATTGAAACAGACTTTTTTTATGATCAAGGAGAAAAGACAGGAAAGGTACTTGCATGGCAGATAAAAACTAGGCAAGCTGAAAGAGCTATTGCTTACATAGAAAATACTGACGGTAGTAATATAGTTGAACCACGGCAAATAGACGAATCGTTCAGGTCTTATTATGTGAAATTATATAGTTCGGAATGTTCATCAGGCTCTGAAGTGCAAAAAAAATTCTTAAGATAATTTGGATTTACCATGAACATCAGATGAACAAAAAAAATATTTAGGAAAAGATATAAGTTTGCAAGAAGTTATTGACGTCCATTATTTTCTGGATTCCATTTTAATGGTTCCATTAAATTTAATAATCAAAAGCATCTCCAATTAATTTATTTTATTTAAAAAAATCTATAACTATAAATTTAAACTATAATTATAATTATTATTTTTTTCTTTTTTTTCAGAAATACTGCACATTTACATTTTCTCCTAAATAAATTCTGGTAAATAATATTTCTGGTAAATACTCCTTTAAAAAGTGTTTTTTTATTATAATTTTAGTATTAGTAGACTAGAACACGTGGATATGTTGTCATTCTTACACTATAATACTGAACTTTGATTTCAGTGATTTGGACTATGAGATGGACACTTGCTTCTTGCACTCTCAGAAATACTGCACATTTACATTTTCTCCTAAATAAATTCTGGTAAATAATATTTCTGTCTGGTAAATCTTTAAAAAGTGTTTTTTTATTATAATTTTAGTATTAGTAGACTAGAACACGTGGATATGTTGTCATTCTTACACTATAATACTGAACTTTGATTTCAGTGATTTGGACTATGAGATGGACACTTGCTTCCTTCACTTTATGTTGCTCTTTACTTTTGCTGTAAAAAAGGATTTCATAGACATTTGGATTTCATTTGGTTTAATAAAATATAGTTTAATAAAATATTCTTAAGTAAAATTGTTGATTTTATGTGGGAAATTAACCGTTTAGATTAATCGATTAATCGATAAATTAGTCGATAGATTAATCGAAATAAAAATAGTCGTTAGTGGCAGCCTTACACCAACCCCAACCTTAAACCTACCCGATAGTGTTAACAAATGCAAAACTGATATAAAAATGCATTTGTTGATGCAACTGTGCCATTTGAACTTCCTCATATGCAGATTTGAACTGTTTTGTCAAAGCTTTGTTTCACGGGATTCGTACCGAAGCTCTTCACCACTCAAGTGCAACTCCAGACTGCGTGAGCTACCGAACAAACCTACTGAATATGAAAACCCACACATATGATACTGGACATGTGACGCTAACGTTCAAAAGTATCAGTTTTGAAATCTCGCAGCATGTTAAAATTGTTTTGAATATATAACATAATATTCCTCAAGTAATTGTGCGAAAATTTGGATTTATTAATCGAAACTGTGGACCAGTAAATCATACTTTGTGTGAAAAGGAAATAAAAATTGTTGGAGTTTTACTGCCTCTAGTGTTTATTTCAACTGGTACATTCGTATGTATAAGTACGTTTTTTCAGTTTTGCAGAAATTTATTTAGAGGCACGTATTTCGAATGAGCCTATGTTGGTTCTATTCTAAGTGCACTACAATTGGTCAACATGGTGTAGATGTAAAGCAAATTCACTTGTTAAATATCTTTGCAGATGAGATGTATGAAATATGAAGGCAAATACAGACATTCAGTTTTAGAGGTGAACTCAAAAAGATAAGCCAATACATTGGACAATTCAGTGAATTGTTCTTAAAATAACCTTTTTTTTGTTGTTGTTTGTTAGTGTGAAGAAAATGTAAATAATCTGAAAATTCTTTTTCCACAATAAAGAACCTTTTGTGCAATGGAAAGGGTTTGTGGATGTTTCTTCAAAAAACCATAGATGCCAGTAAAGAACCTTTATTTTTAAGAGTGTAGAATTTACAACCATAGAAATATGACCTTCAAAAAGAAGTGGTGAAGTGGCACATGCCTCATAGGGGTAAGCTATGTCATGTCAAGTGGAAAGTTGGATTATTGGGCAATATCTAACACAACATGTGTGAGCAAATTAAAAATAATTGTTATTTTTGGACGAACGAATCGTTTTTAAGGCTGACCCAGTTGAACCTACTTTCCGCTGTTATTTTGAGCCGTGATGACGACGTATTAGTGATTTTAGTCATTTGCCCTTCAGGTTCTGTTTGAGTTTTCCAGTTGTTGACACATCCTGTCATTCTGTGAATTGTTTTACCATTACAATGTGTATTATCTAACATTTTTGCTTGGAGGGCAATAATGATGATCAAGAATGGCTGTAACAATGACAGACAGCATTTTGACCTTGTCTCAGGAAATTTAAGTCCTGAGTACCATTCATTGTAAAAAAATATCCAGAATGAAGGAGGGTGATATATAATTTAAAGCAATGTAAGTCACTGGAATGGCTCCAGGGATCACTTGTCAAGCAGCCAATTGGTGGAACAATGCCGGCTGTAGTGTATGTGTGTCCACCGCAGACATGGCTTATATGTTGTCATGTTTCCCTATTTGTGCTATAGAGCAATGAGATGTCAGTGGTCTTTATGGGCTGTGGGTGCACATGGCTGTCAGTAAGCGCTCTAACTGCTCTTTTGCTGTCCACAGCACCCAACCTGAAGGGCCGGCCCCGGAAGAAGAAGCTCTCCATCTCCCAGCGGCGAGACTCGCAGGGGCAGGGCGGTACTGCCAAAGAGACCAACGGTGTGGAGGGCAAGTCTCTAGTCAAGGTAGGGCTGTAGAAATACACAGATGTTGAAATTCTGGTCAATACAAATTACAAGATAATTATTTTCACATTATGAATGAAATCTAGCCTCCCAGAGCCAAACTTTTGACTATCAGCATAAGGTCTGGTCCACTTTATAGAAGAAGTAAGACGAGAGGAGACTGTCTGACCATCATGCACAGCAGTTTCTAAGAATGCTTGTGTACTGTAGAAAACACCATAGAAATCAGTAGAAACTGCCCATTTCAGCAAGTCATACAATGGCTAATGTTATAAATAAT